AATATCCTGCCAATTACACTGACAATAACAATATTTTCCAAAGATTTCCCACCACCAAAATGGAAGCCCAATCACCAAAATTTTCACAAAAATCGGATCTTATCGGGGAAAAAACAGCAGCCTGCTCTCACATATGCCTAATGTGACAAATTCATCGTCCTTGTTGTTGTCCTTTTCAAGCACCGCTCGAATTCTCATCGCTGATAAGCGCAAATCCCCCGTCTGCCGCATTTTAATCTCCCGTCGAAGGACAAATAGCCGAGATCTTTGGCAGCCGATAGAAAATGGCAACAAATGTTTTAATTTATATATTTTTTTTTTCTCGTTCGAAGGATTAGGCCAGGACCAAAAACGCGGCCAGTTGTGAAAAGCGTTTTGCAGGCGATACGATCGCCTAAATATAAACCCAAGTTCGGCATTGGAAATTCGATTTTAATTATTACAGAGGAATATATCATGAATATATATATATATCCTTACTGAGAGCCTTTAGGCATACGCTGGCCCATAGAATTTGCATAACTATAGCGGCATAAATCTTCTATATGCTTTCTATTTAACTTTTACTAAAGACTTCCGACACATTTCTGCGGCAGGCAATTTGCCTGGGGATTCCCGGATCCCGGATCCCACCACTTCAGACTCCACTCGCCGGCCCTGTCAACACCTACACACCACTGGGGCAGCCAGTGTTGACCAGGAAAACCCAGAGTGGAGAGTCTAGACCCCAGCTGAACCTTTTCCTGGGTTTTATCTATGGAAAAATAGCCAAAAACCGACTGGAAAAGAACTCAAGAGGCAGCACTCGACACGGAGGAGTTCCAACTGTTGACGACGACGACGATGGCGTGCCTGGCCACCATTTGGCCGGCCGACGCTCGCGGAGGTGGCCCTGGGTTCCACCTGCCTCGGTGTCTCCCCGTTCCGAGTGTGTCTGGAGCCCTCGGGGCTTGTAACTTATCTAAATGAACACAATTATTGAATATAATCGCTGCCAAGGCAAAGGAGGAGCGAAAACAAACACGAGAAATTTCATGCCGCCTTTTAGGCGTTTCTGAGAGGCGAGGGAATGCCCTATAAAATATATGTATATTTTTATTATTTCAAAATCCCAACTTGCAGCAAGTTTAATGTGCATTTCCTAAAAACTCCCTAAAATGTTCATCGAATTAAAGGCAGCACAACATTTTTCGCAATTTTCAAGCAAATATTTATTTAAGCGCAATTATTATAAAAGAGAGAGATGGCAAAAATCAAATAAAAAATTCAACTTGCCGGCAATTAAGCGCAATTTCCGTTCGCCGTCAGTTGATTATTTGAAATGCATATCCATGTGTTTGGGGCTAAATAATTGATGCGGCCTTTTGCCCAATGATATAAATTATATATATATGTATATATATAGCGGGGGAGGGATTACAAGAATCGGGAATTGGGTCGCAAAAAAAAAAAATTAAGCAAAATTAATTGAATTAAATGGGCAGCGCAAAAAAACAAGACTTTTATTAATTCCGCCCGGCATATGCTTCGCGTCAGTCAACAAAAAGCGGAAGCCACCTGGAAATGGTAATGGTAATAAATAAAAATCACAAATAAATAAACGAAACAGGAGTTTAAATTAAAGGCAAACAAAGTTGATGTTGATGCAACTTTTAACTTTTCCTTTCATTTCCCTGCCACTATTTGTTTATTACACTTTTCCCCGAAAAAGCAGGCGAGCTCCTTTGCTTCTTTTTCAATTTTTTCGGTTTTTTTTTTGTTTTGGGGGAAAATCCGTGAATCGTGGGCGTTGTTCCGGTCCGCTCGTCCAGCCCCCGTTTTTGTTGAAGGGTCTCTGGCCTATAATTAGCCTGAATTCCGGGGGCTGCACTTAATATTTTGGTATCTTTGAAGAGGCTTGAGCTGGCTTTCCTTGATTTTTAAATACTTTTCTTTGCAAAATAATATTTCTAAAAAATCCTGCTAGTCTTAAAAATCATTATATAACCCTGTAAAAATATATATAACATTTAAATTATCCCCAAATTCGAGGTTTCTTTTAAGATATTCGAAAATAAAGAGAATAAGCACTTTGATAGGACTGAACTTTATATTTTGGTATATGTGCAGAGGCCTAAGCTTTTCTTTACTTTCTTTGATTTTCTAAATATTTTTCTATGCAAAATAATATTTCTAAAAAATCCTGTTGGCCTTAAAAAACATTATAGAACCCTTTAGAAATATATAGAAAATTTAAATTATCACCTAATTCGAGGTTTCATTTTAGATATCAGAAAATAAAGAGAATTAATATTTTGGTATCTGTGAATATACCTAAGCTGGCTTCACTTTACTTTCCTTAATTTTCTAAATATTTTTCTAAGCAAAAAAAATATTTCTAAAAAATCCTGCTCTTCTTAAAAAACATTATATAACCCTAGAAAAATATATATTCTCTTAGAAGTACATTAAAATTACCCCCAAAAGCCAAGTTTCATCTTAAATATCAGAAAATAAAGAGAATGCCCGGCTTTGGCCGACCCCAAAGCAGGCGGAAGTATCCACAGCAGCCACCCTGTTCCGTTGATTGGCTGCTTAAGCGAATTGCGGTGGAGGATTCTGCCGGATGCTGCTGCTGCTGCTGTTGGTCCACCCACAAAAATGTGCGGCTAATTGGATGTCTATATGCGAGGACGTGGATATGTGGCAGGTACTTTGACAGTCGGCGCCTGATTTCTATGCAAATTGATGTTACAGCACAGTAAGCAGGCAATATTTCTGCTTCATTTCGTAAATGCGTCCGGGGCATCCCCTCATCATCAACCCCCCTCTTCTGGCATCGTAACCAAATCCCCGATGGCAGGCGTCCATCGAGCTCCTTGGATTGGCGCGTTTGCATATCAAACGCCCGACGCCACGTCATGCCGGTGATGTGTCTTTAATTAAACATGAATCTCCAGGCAGTTTCATTTGTAGGAGATTTAAAAAATAATAAAATAATAAAATTGAAGAATAAAAAAAAATTAATAATAAAATAAAGTGTTAACAATTAAATAAATAAGGAGATGGGACATTAGCAATAAATACGAAAAAAATAAAAAAATAATAATAAAAGAGTAAATAAAAATAAATAAATAGAATCTAAGAAATAAATAATTTAATAATAAAATAAAGTGTCAAAAATTAAATAGTAAAGGAGATGAGATTTAAGAAAATAAACAATGTTCTCTCAAAATTAGAAAAGTAAATAAAAATAAATAAATAAAATTTAAGAAATAAATTAATTAATAATAAAATAAAATTGAACAAATTACACAAATGAGTTTTAGAAAATTAGCAATACTCACTAAGCAAAGATTATTTCTGCCCCTTACACGTTGAATACCAATAAAAATAATTCCATTAAAAATAATACAAAATTAAATATCAAAGTAAAAGTACAACAAAGACCTAATAATTTTTTTTTGAGCATTCTAGATCTGAAGGCCTGTAAACATTTAAATTCTGCAAGTAAGAAGCATTCAAATGTATGCGCGTTACGCATCTTATAGCTTTAGTGAGACTTTGCTTTATTTATTTATATATTTATATTGTTTTATTTATTTAAGAGCTCGAGGCTTGTGTTGGTTTTAGATTTGCAATTAAGCTATATATTTAATTTTATTTTATGCCAAAATAAATTTTAGCAGCTGCTTCTGGGATTCTCGTTGGAATCGGTTTTAGTTTCTACCGACGACTATGGCCGTAATTAGCACACATCTGAACACACCGAAGCACCGATCGTGTTTAATTGAGCGTATATGTGGTGCAGTTTCTCTGTTTTGTGTCATTTGCCTTTAATGAACGGTTTGCCCGCTGGCCAAACAGACCGCTCGCTCCCCACAGCCACTACTTATTACCATTGTCCTACCAAGCGTCGCGTGGCCTTTGTTTTAAGCAAACAGCAATTTAAACGCTGAGGCCCATTTGTTGCTGGCTAAAACAAAAAAGAGAGCAAAAAACATACAGGGGAGTATTTCTTTTTAAATAACAAAATTACAAAAATATCAACGGAGGTTCAATAAAAAATGCAGGCAGTTTGAATATGTTAAGAGTGTTGTTTATATGAAAAATAATAATAAAATAGATTTGAAATTGTCAAGGTTCTTGGGGAGAATCAAGTTATTTGAAATGAAAGTTTGTTGGCTTGATTTAAGGCAGAAAAGGACACTGAATGTCAGGTTAGGAGCATCCCTAGAGGCCTGAGTAGGACACAAAAGCAAGTCAAAGGTGGCCTTCATGGGCATGTATTTTTGGCCTTTTTAAATATTTTTTTCCCTTAAATTATTAGAAAATATTTCTAATTTCTTACAGATATAATATCTAAATTTTCTTACACTTGAAAGATTTTTTTTAAATTTTCCAAATATAAACAATTTTAGTTCTTGTTTTTTTTTTTCTCTTAGCCAAGTTATCTTACCCAAGTTCTCTTCCCCCCACAGTTTCAGGGGCTCATTTTGGCCATAATGTATCTCGGGTCAGCTGGCCCTCGCTTAGGCTTGGTCCTTGGTCCTGGGACTTCAAGGATCGTTTGCTGGCTTTTGCCTGCAGCGCCGTTTTATATCGTTTTTTTTTCCTTTGGGTTTTTTTTTTTGGGCTTGCATGCGAGCACGCAATGCAAGCTCATACATACACACACACACACACACTCGCACACCTCTTAACCCTCCGAGGCCAGTGTGTGTTTTGGCCAACTGGTGGCAGCTATTCAATATATCAACTTTTGGCCTAATAAATGCACTAATTGCGGTTAAATGCATTTTGCATGCAATTATAATCATTAGGGGTTGGCTGGCACGTCGTCGTATATCCTCCCCTCCAACTTAACCCGCCCTCGCCCCCGCCCCTCGCCCCAGACATCGTTTGGAAATTGTTTCTGTTGGTCATTATTTTAATTGCCCGGGGACATGGCCAGCTACCCCTCGCCCCCCGCCCATCCTACAGCCTGGAAAAGCACAAGAGGTAGTGTTATATTTCCGTAGTTTTATTTTTTATTTAGGCAAATATATGTGGTTACTAAACACAGACAAAAAAAAAAAAAAAGAGAGCACACACACTCACACACACTTTACATTACAACGTTTATGGGTAGTTCTAGGCTATGAAAAAAAAGGTTATGATTACATTTCTAGTCGACGTCTAAGATAATACATTTCGTGGCTAAGCTCAACTATACAAAATTCATGATTTCTTTTGTTTTTTTTTTTTTTGGCTGCTAGTTTATACAACATTCAACTGAACATTTGTTCTTATGTTTAATTGTTAAATACTAAAAGCAAATTAAATAAATTAAACAAGCAGACACACAGACACTGAGATATGGTTTTATATACAAAAGAGGGGGTCTAAGCCAAAGGCGCGATATGGAAAGGGTGCTCTGTGGGGGTTTAAAAATAATTATTAAATTTAAAAAAAATGTAAATAAATAAATAAATATAATGTGAGAAACGTAGTTTAAAATAGAAGCTTTAGGTGATTGTCCGGAGTAACCTTTTGGCACCAAAACTGAATAACTAAAAAAACCATTGTCTAATCGGATTACTTTTCCCTTTGAAATCACGCTTTTGGCATCCCTCCCTCACACACACACACACACACTCTCTCCTCCCCCTCACACCTGGATCTGGTCCTCATCCTCCGATTGTGAGCAGCTGTCCACAGATCTGCCCGGCGGACTGCCCGGATCCAGCGTTGGACTGGGTGTGGACGGTGGCCTTGGCAGCGGTGGCGGCGGCGGCGGCGGCGAGGTTGAAGGACCTGCTCTGTAAGAGGCTGCTCCCGGTCCCGGGCTGGGACTACCACCCAAGGGTTTGGTCACGACTCCAGCTCCCGCTCCCGACACGGACACAGCCGTTGGCGGCGGTGGCAAGGGATTCCCCGCAGCAGCGGCAGCAGCAGCCGCACTCTGATAGTAGCTACTCAGCGAGGACAGCGAACTGGAGGCGGACAGGTGGGAGAAGGGCGCCGGACCCACGCCCACACCCACATTGGGCACCCCAGCGTACAGGTTGTAGGGCAGCGGTTTCTGCATGGCAGCGGCAGCGGCCGCCTGGCGGTAATAGATATCGATGCTGGTGTGGGGTGCCGGTCCATGAGCGGCAGCAGCGGCGGCGGCTGCTGCTCCGGCACTGCTGCCAGCAGCGGCTGCATATGGCCAGGCGCCCAGGTAGGGCGATCCGCCATACAAACGCTGGAAGGCGGCAAAGTTGCCGGCCTCGGCCAAAAGCTCCAGGCCCACAGCCGTCTGGCGCTTCCATTTGGTCCTGAAAAGAATCAAGGAGGAATATATTTATTAAAGAATTTCCGCGAGGTAAAAGGAAATAATAAGGAAGCAGGACTAGACACACACCTGCGATTCTGATACCAGGTCTTCACCTGACAGTCGCTCAGGTCCAGCTTGTGGGCCAGCTCTTGGCGCTCCTGGACGCTGAGGTACTTCTGCCGCTCAAAGGACTTCTCCAATGTCTGCAGCTGGTGGTCCGTGAAGGCGGTGCGCGCCTTCCTTTGCTTCTTGCTCAGGCCGCTCATGTCGCTGGTGGAGCCGCTTTTGATGCTGTTCCCATCGTCGTCCTTGCCGCCTGGAAGACCCAGAGAGAGAGAGAGCGGGACTTTAGAGGGTTTTTTATTATATAATTTTAAAGCTTAAACTTAGAGCTCGATCTGTCTGCGATCCCTTGAAACCGTTTCACCCACAGCTAAAGGCTCGTTTATGGCCACGCAATTGCCTCTTCCGCTCACAAAGCGATTCCCCCCTCCTATCGCCTCGAGTGCGGTGGTGGTAATAAAAATGTGTAGCAAAATGTCTAAACTTGGCCAAAAGAGTGCTAAGATAGTCGGCGAGCTGGCTCACCCCTTCAGAGAGAACGGTTCCTGCCGCCTTTGGTACATACAATTTATGTAAATTGAAGCGATTGTGGCTACCCGATAAGTGAGAGCGTGTTTTAGGGCCATGGTCAGGCGGTGGAGGGGTTCTAGGGGGCTGCAAACTCTCAAGCGTTAAATTATTTAAAGTGAAAATTTGCCAAGTTCCGCATTTAAATGAAGTCTGCAAAGTGGAGAAGGTGAATGGTCCCGGAAAGTAAATATTGGGAATTACTTAAGAGAAAACTTGAACTAAAGCTTAAATTAAATTAATGTTATAATTTATTTCATAAAAAATAAATAGGAGAATCAAAGGAGACCCCGTGCCACATCAGTATCAGAAATATTAACATCAAGATGAACAAGAAGCTACACCTGATTCCCTTTTTCCCCATGAAAGGCCACGTTGGGTGATTGTTGGCAGCGATAAGTGGCCAATGAGGCCGCTATTGAATTAAATGAATTTTCAATTAAAGCAAATTACTCACGTTGCCTGAATTGGCTTTTAAAATTATCGATTTGCGGGCGATAATCTGTTGATGAGCATTTTTTCCAACGCTATTCGCGGGTGTTCGTGTGATTAAATTTCCCTAATTAAGGCCATGTTCTCGAATTATAAACTGAATTGAAAGCTATTAATTGACACCTTTGATCGGGTTTTTAACTTGTGTTGCCTTGTTTGTTGTTTTAAAAAGCTCAAGGGTTTTCCTTGATTTCGATCACCGAAATTATTTCAAGTTGTGGCCCTTCGCAAATCGTTTTTCTTCTCACAAATTGGCATCCCTACGCATTTCTGATGAATTGACCGATTGCAGCTTTCCCTGCCTGCCGGCTGGCCAATCATTTAGCCCCTCGGCGCCCCCAGCCTGCCACTTTATTCGCTGTCATTCGCAGTGGTCATCAGCCAGAGGAAGGTTGCCAGGAGGGGGGAGCAGAGATAAAAGCGACTACCGTTTATAAAAGTGCAATTGGAAACAGGAAATTGCTGTAATAAATGGCACAGAACAGGGCCCCAGATGGAGCCCCGAACCCGGAGCGGAGAGATGAGCAAGCAGCCTGCCTGCCTGCCTGCCTGCCTGCCTGCCTGCAACATTTTTTATTATCCACTGCCTGGGGGCATCTATTAAAGGGGTTAAATGCATTTTTATAACAATTTTCACAATTAAATGATAGAGCGGGCGGGCGGAGGCAGTGCGTGAGAGAGAGAGCGAGGCTTGCTCTTCTATGCAATTATTAAAGATTTTTGCTCATTTTTTTCTCTTCTCCAGTTTTGATGCTTCTCTGCGGCACGCCCCACGCCATTCTGTCGGCTTCGCAGGTGCATGCCCCCAGGGGTGGTGGGGGCAAGGGTATAGACTGGCGGAGAAGCATCGCCATGACGCAAGCAAAGCGTGAAAATGCATTTTTTAACCACAAAAAAAAAAAAAAAAACAAACAAAAGCGGCGGGTCGAGAATGTAAAATGGTCATGCAATAATTTTTACAGTTTGTTTAGCAAAGCGACATCGACGAGGGCCACCTCGAAGCACCCTGCAAGCTCCACAAAAAAAATAATGAAAAAAAAAACAAAAGACTTAGGCAACGAACTTGACTGCGGAACCGATTTACTTGTAATTTATTTTTTACCTAATTGAATTAAGTTTTTTGATTTACTCAAGCCGGCTTCAGTATGGGGAAATGCGGTTTCACAGCGAGTTGCACAGTTGTCCGGGAAAAACTTGCAATGAAAAACTCAAGAAAAGCGAAGCCCAGCGTTTTTCATGAGAAACTTGGCTGAGGCTTCACTTGGTTTTTTAATAATATTTATTATTATAATACTAACGGTTTTTGGATGAGAATTTATTTGAGACTGTGATCTGGCTTTAGTTTAAAGTTCAAACATAAATATATCAACACTTAAGGCTATTTATTTTTCCTTGTTTCTTTGAGAACTCTCACATTCTAGTGTTTTTTTTAAAGACAGATCTATGAAACCATTTTTAAAATTGACTAAAAGTGTGATTTTAAGTATAAAGAAGTAGCGGTTAAATAACAGCGGGTTTATTAACCGACGGACAAAATAATAACAGACACTTGACGCTTAAGCTTTGCTTAAAAACATAAATAAAGTCTTATTATAGTATTTTTCTAATAACTCTCCAAGAAATGTTAAGAAAAACCCCTCAAAAATCAACCCTAGCTTTTCCTACTTCTCCCCAGACCTGCCTGGCGACCTTCTTGTAAGCCCACCCCCCATAGTACAGAGGCTCACCTCACCATTGCTACAAACGCTGTGATCGTCCATGTGTCCGCTGCCTCCTCCGCCGCCTCCCGCGCTGCCCGCCTCGTCACTGTCGCACTCCTCGTTATCATTATCGTTATCGTTTTCATGCTCGTTATCGATCTCGTTATCCTCGTGATAATCGCTGCTGTCATCCAGTTCCGTTCCCGTTCCCGCTCCCGCTGCAGCTCCTCCCGCCACGCCACCTCCTCCTCCTCCAACACCGCCGGCTGCTGCCACGGCAGCCACGGCTGCAGCAGCTGCTGCGTTATTTCGCGCAGCAGCAGCGGCTGCAGCGGCGGCATAATGCTGCTGCATGGCCGCCGCATATTGGGCCACATTTAACCCATTGGTGGCACGCGGATGCGCCACGGCATGCGCATGCGGATGTGGGTGCGGATGCAGATGCGAATGCGAATGCGGATGTGGGTGGTGCAGCGGTAGTGGCAGATGTGGAGGTGCCGAGGCTGCTGGTGGCTCAAAGTTTTCGCTGTTATTGTTGTTGTTGTTGTGAGCGGGACTGCTGCCGCCGCTGGAGCCCGAGTTGTTGTTGTTGTTGCGGTTATGGTGCTGCTGCTGCTGCTGCTTGTAGAAGGTGGTGGTCAGGATGTCATTGATCATGAAGCGGGAGCGACTGGGCTTCGAGGGGGTGGTGGTGGTGGTGTTGCTGCCGGACATGCCAATGCCAAGGCCGATGCTGGCCGGCGGCGCTGACTGCTGCTGCTGCTGGGCCGCGTAATGCTGCTGCAGTAGGTGCTGCTGCAGCGGCGGGGGGTGATGCTGCGCGTGCTGCAAGTGCTGCAGGTGCTGCAGTGGGTGATGGTGCAGGTGATGATGCAGCGGATGGGCGGCCGCCGCAGGCGTCTCAGCGTGGGTCTGTGTCAGTATGCTCATCGAGTCCTTCATGTCCTGCCGGGGCACCCAAAAGCCGATACCAGCTCACTTTCCAGGGCACTCTTTCCGGTACTTTAGCACTTCACAAAAAAAAAGTTCAAACTCATTCACCGACTTGGCTTAGTTTTTCATGGTTTCAGCGGTTTTCCGAGAGGTTCTCCGTCCAAATTGTTGAGTTTTCACTTGGGTTTTCAAGGGTTCTTTGGATTTTTGCAGTAAGTTTTAGTTCTAGGAGATTTCCTTGTTGATTTAATAAATACTTTAATTTAGTTAATGATTTATTTCGCATTAACTAGACTTTGTAGCACTTTTTGCAAGTTTACTTTGAGCTTTCAGCACTTAAAAAATTCCCCTTAACTCTCACATCCACGTCGTGCACGGCTTGGCTGCCAAAACGAGACTGAGCGGCTTTTGTGTATGAAACGCACCTGCCGGCGTTTCGCTGCCACACACTCTGACGACGGCGACGTCGGCAGCGCCGCTCGGCGGTGGCAACAATTTTGCCACTTTGTTGTTGCTCTCGCCACGGGCGGGGTGGCATTGAAGTGGTGGCTTTGCCGCCGCCCGCCTGGCCTCCATGAGCCAGACCAGGACGGCTGTGTCTCGGCACGCTCTCTCTCTGTTTAGTATTGCCGTCTCTTCGGCCATTTCGCTCTGACGCAGCGCCATGTTGCCAGCGCGGGCGCCATTAAACTCACCACAGTGGTGAAACGGTTGCCCGCGAGATTTTTATAGCAGCGAATGTCGGTCAAGTGGTTGGAAGTTGAGAGTTTCTATGCGTCGGATTCAGTTTTTATAATTTTCACTAGATTTTAAATTTAATGATTAATAGGGTAAAATTAAAATTTTATTTATGAAATTTAATTTATAAGCCAGGTTGTGGTTTTTTTTTAAATATTAAAATAAAGTAAAATAATATAAGATTATAAAAATGGCCAAAATTTTAAATCGTTTTAGGTGTTAAATTAATTATGCAGATTTGTTAGCCAAGTTAATGCTGTTTTTACTAAGTTATGGTTTTTTAATTATAATTTGGCCCATTTTTTTTCTCGTTAAAATTATTAATAATTGTTAATAATTAAAATTTTTTTAAAATGTACAGATACAGATTTGTTGCTTTCATTTAAACTAACACAAAACTGTTTTCCAAACTAAGATTAATGAATTTTTTAGTTAGTTTTGGATTGTTTAAGCTTCTATTTGTTAACAAAAAATATGAATAAATATTAAATAAAAATATCTGTAAATATAGATTTAAAAGAAGAGAATATTTCAGGACTTCTGAAGGGCATAAGATGCCTAAAAAGTAAGTGATTGCCTAAACTTGGAAGATTCGTTTAAATTTGTATTTATTATATCTTTTTTATGAAGTTATTTAAATGGTTTAATAAGAATTTTATTATTTTAATAATGGTTTAATAATAATAAAATTTAAAAATGTATGCAATGGGTTAAATACCCAAACTTGGTTGTCATAACTACTTTTTTAATCTTTTTTTTTAAGTATATATTTTATATAAAGTTACTTATATGATTTAATAAGAATTTTTAATATAAATAAGTGTCCTGTGGTAATATTATAAATTTTAAAAATTCAACTGATATATATTTTACCCACACTTGACTCCCATAACTACTTTTCCTTATCCTTTTTTCATAAAACTATCTTGAAGATGACTCCTTAATGCTCCTTTAATGCACAGAAATGCGATACACTTCCTTGTTTGTCTTTAAACCCCGTCCCCTCCATCCTGGCAGAGGCCAGTGTAATTTCCCACAACAAGAAGACAATTAAAATTTCACGCCAATAGCTCAGGCCTGGGCCGATCGCAATGGGTTTGGATGGCCACATGTTAGCCGAAGGACTAATTGCAGGAAAAGGAGCGGAGCGAGGTAAACAAATGCAATTTGTCGGGAGCGGCGGTTTCCGTTTGATTGATATTGATTCTGGTCGAGGAGATGGAAGTGGAAAATGGGAAAGGAAAGAGCGAAGAGCGAAGAGGAGGGGAAAAGGTCAGGTGACCTGCGAAGGTCGTTAGTGGTGGGGAAATTAGAGCGGCTTCCAAGGACTCAAGCGCGCGCTTCAATGGCGTTTTCGGGCGCATTAAAGTAATTAGCGTCTGGCGGAGCATCAAATGCGGCGAAAAGTCACCCGAGTACGAGTCTGAGTACGAGTCCTTCGTCCTGATGACGCTTATTGCACTTAAATGCATATAATTGCCAGCCCAGTCGCATATCCTGCGGTCTGCGGTTGGATTCGAATTCGAACTCGAGCTCGAGCTTCGACTGCCAATGCCAATTGAATGCTTAAAATAATTGCACTTCTGCAGCACAAAAAAAAAATTGGGAGAGTGAGGGAAACACTGGGGAAAAACGGGGATACAAAGATATAAAAAATATAAAATATATATAAAATATATATAAAATATATATAAAATAATATATTTGTAAACCCTTAACCTAAGTTTGACTTTAAAACTAAAATAAGCTACATTAATTTTGCATAAATTATAAAGAGAAGAGTTCTAGACTTTGGTCATTATTTTATTAAAAAATAAATGTTTTAAATGTCTAATACTAAAATATAAAAAATATCAAATATAGGGGATCTAATTCTATATAAAATAATATATTTGAAAAACCTTTAACTAAGCTCAACTCTAAAACCAAAATAAGCTGAATAAATGTCTCATAAATCGTTATTTTATTTAAAAAATGATGGGTGATATGGCTCATATTTCTTCAAGTGTAGGCTGCGGGAAATTATGAAAAAGAAATGTACGAATGCTGAAACCGCAATGCGCAGTTGTCCCACAAATGCCACACCCCCTTTTCCTTCGATTACTGGACAGTTGCCAATGCCAGCAAAGAAACTTGAACAGTTGGCAGCGTTTTTCCGGTCTTTCTGCCTGCTCACCAGCTGTCCATATATGTATATATTCCTTGGCCATATTATATATGTATGTATATATATTCATCTATCTGTGTTTCTAAATATCAGATGAACTTAAAAATTAACTATAAATTTATAGCCATAAGCTTTTAAAAACTTTCTGAAGATATATTTTTCCAAACATTGAAATATTCTAAAAATATATTCAATCTTTTAAAGGTGCAAATTTTAAGGAGTTTATGTCTTAATCTTACATATGTTCTTATAATATTTATTATTATTATTATTCCTTGAGCCATCAGCCATCTTCCGAGTGTCAAATTTACTTGTCACACTGGTAGAAAAGGAAGGAAGGAAGGTACCTATATGTATATGTATATATTCCCCCGCCCATCCACTCCAACCCACTGGACCCGTACATCCAGCAACCAAGTCTCCTTCCACCTACCAATTCCATTTCTGATCTGTTTCCGCGGGGCTTGTGGAATCTTAATCGGCATCTTTGATATTATAATGTTCGTGTTACTGCGTGGACAAACGTAATAAAATAACTGATCGTTGTCGCTGATAAGTTAATTTACTTTTAATGTGCTGCCCTCGCCCGACAATCCGAGGATCCAAGAGCCAGCATCCCAGATCAGAGGAGAGGCAAGGGGTAGGGGTAAATGGCTCTGGAGGTGACAAAGGTTCTCACTGGGGACCCAAAACAAGCCCACGAACGAGACTAAGGCTGGCAGCGATTGATCTTGGTTTGGGTTTCACTTTCGTATGCCCTTTGTTTTGATATTATAATATTAAAAATAAATATAGTTAATTATTTTCTTAGTTTTTCATACACTTTCAGAGATTTTATTAAAGAAACTTTATTTATTTTTGCTTTATCTTAGTTTTAAATTGAATTTCCCAAACAAAAAGGGTATTTCCGGCTTCGCTTTGGCCACCTTCCACTGATTTGTGTTCGTTTTTTCCCCCCGCCTTGTTTTATTTGGCTCTGTTTTTAATTTTTTTTTTGTTTGTGTTTTGTGTTTGTGTCGGTCGCGTGTGCCGTCGATGGCCAACGTTGTTGCCAACTGATTTGTCAACAACGTGGCCAACAAAGGTGTTCTCCTGCTCCGGTTCACCCTGCCCCCGGGGATTTATCGCTGCTCCAGATCAGTCACTATATATACAACGGCAATGGCAACTACACAGGATAAACATAAAGCCTGATTCGGATCTCTTGGAGCGCGGCGCTCGTTTCGGCATTGATGTCCCAACCCCACTAAATGGAGGCTATTTAAATTTTTACTGCCTGCCGGCACCTATAAATCGGCTCGAGGATGCATTTGGGTCCTAGGATCTGGGATCGATCGGTCCTTCCACCTGCCTTAATTTTTACGAGCTCGGCTTAGCCCGCTTGGCTAATCAACACCTCGTGATGATTCCGGTTCCAAGGCCGGTAATCCTGGAGGAGTGTGGATTTTGTCTTTTATGAGTGTGGAAAGTGTTTCAAGGATTGAAAGTAATTTTTTAAAAATTGTAGTTGAACTTGTAGAACTTGAAGTGAGATCAGAGTTTACTTTGATTTGAATAAAGGTAATGATAAACTTTCTAGTCAAGAAATGGCCTAGCCAAAAATAGCATCTCAAGAAACTCTTTCCGCTTTACGGGGTTTCCCTTTTCTCCGTTTCCGGTTCTTTTTCCTAGCAAACTTAGCTCGTGCCAAAACCAACTTCGTTCCTCCAATTTGTAGATAAACCAATGTTTTCCTCCGGCAATCGCCTTATTTCGCTTATTTCCTCTTATCGGCAGATGGGTCTCTTAATTAGGAGAGCAAGTTGGATAAACGGCGGCCCAGGCGACACTTGCCACATTTGCATCGACCATAAAAATATGCCCCCTCAAAGTGCAGCCACTTAAATGGAGAGAGACTGAAGCGGTCTAAGAAGTGAAAATGTATTTTATGGCTCAATTTGGTGCACATAAAACGGGGGGACCCATACAAAGTGCAACATTGTAGGCCGAATGAGCGTTAACGATGCTTGGATCGAAGGCGAAGGTGTGATCTCTGGGAATGGTGGCGTGATCGATATTGTTTTTAGTGATATATATTATAAATATATAATTAAAAGATATATTTCAGTTTCCTAAATCCAATTAAGCCTTAGTTTCTTCAATATTTATATCGGCGTTGCGCATCTTATTACCAATTTTATCTTGTTCCTCACGCTGCCATCTCTATTTATGTTTTTATATTCACCGATAGTGCTGGCTGCCTTTCAGCTGATTGTTGTTAATTTTTATGTGCAATTAATCGGCTTCGCGCATTGAGCATTTATAAGCATTTCTCGCACCAACAGAACCAGAGATCCCATCAAAAAAATAAAAGGGGTTGGGCGAAGAGGTATCTTTGGAAACTGAAAAAGAAATTAAGTCGCTTTGAATTAAAGTGAAATGCAAAATGCATCTCCTCCGGCTCCTCCTCCTCCTGCTCCTGCTCCTGCTCCTCTCATAAAACGACCAGCGGAGGCAACATTGTGCCCTGAAAGGAGCACGGAATTCGGAAGGGAGGACGACTGCCGACAGTCGTAAAAGTGGGCAAGGTGTTGAGATCGGAGCCAACTGTTCATTGCTGCTGGAAACCTTTTAATCCGGGGCCACAAACGCCGACAGATGCGTCCGATATCCCGCTGTTCGAAGGGAGAAAATATTGGTTGGATCCAACAGCCAAGTAAAAGCTGTAAATGTTCAAGAACAGGTCAATGAAAGAGACTGGGGTAGGGTCTCTGAGTGGAAGCATTCTGAAACATTAAATAAAAAAAAACTAGTAGTGAAGTGAAGCCAGTTTGACTTGAGAAATTTGTAAAGGAAGCCTTGGAAAATCGAAGCTGTCAGTACAACATCAGCAGCTCTCTCGTTCACTTACAGTATTATTCAAAATGTGGAACATCAATAAGAGCTCTTCTTTTAGTAAGTATTCAATTCTTTACATCGCGCGGTCATAACATAACATAACCCACCAGATATTGGCAATTATAAGGATCACGAATCCTCCGACGAGGCCTCATCCTCGCACAGCGAATGCGAGGGTCATAAACTCGATCACACCTTGTCGGACACAGAACTCTGCGTTCAACCGGAGGTAGAGCATTCAGAGGTCTCGGAGCTGGTGGCCAAGCTGCAGCAGTTTTCATTTAAGAATTCTGATGGAGAGCAGCAGCCATTAGAGCAGCTCCAGTCTACCCCGGAGGACTTAGCCGAGCATCGCAATGAAAAACCAAAAGAAAAGCGTGAGCCAGAAGTCAATGTAAGCCCCGAGCAAGATGGATCAGCTAAAGTCCCCAAAGACAAACCCCAGCAAGCAGTAGAAGTCGAAAAGGATGGCCAGTACTTTCTCCAAAACCTCCGAGACGAGCAGAAGCGTCTGCTCGCCTTGGCCGACACTGCCGACAACTATGCCGCCACTTTGGGCACCAAGCCAAGCCGCGGGGAATATGCTCTAGAGAAGTTGAGGGTCTTCTCGGGACTAGTCAGACTGTTGGTGACCTCCAAGATGAGTCAGTTCGAAAGCTTATGCCAGAAGAACATAAACGCCTCGCCCGGTGACCAGTTCCCAGTGACCGTTAATGATCTGCATGGATTCTGGGACATGATTTACCAGCAGGTGCCACCTTTGGACAAACTCTTCGAGGAGATCGAAGCCCTCAAGGCAAACAATTGGTGTGCCCCGCCTAGGTCAGGAGGAGTCGGATCTTTGGACCACAAGAAGACCTCGCGTTCGTCGACACAGAAGAAGAACACCAAGTCCCGGGAGACTCAGTGGCGCTGCTAAGTTGATTGTTTACGCACAGAATACCCCACCAGAGAGATGCCTCCAAATTCCTTGTCAAAGTTGGAACTTATTTTTATTGCAATTGCTGGAGCCTCGTTACCTCGCACATCATTCGAAATTTTTTTAATTTTTTAAACTAGCATCTATGTGGGCATAAAACTGGGTTACGTGTAAAAGCAGGTTGAGAACACATCCTTGAATACAAGCCAACTTATCAACCTTATATATTTTATGTCGGAATTTTACTGAATTTAAGCCAAGCTGAGCTCTTTCCTTAAGCCAACACCCATTCGTCCTTGGCCAAGGTGGGAAAATCTACTACCCCCCCCCATTTTCTTGATTCGTTTTTTCCCCCCTGCTTAATTGCATAATTTCATATTCGGTTTCTTTGGCTTTCATTGCCTGCTGTTCCTTTTTTTCTCTTTTTTTTTTTGGCTTTTGTTCATTTGCCAGAGCTGTTACCTTACTCCTCCCCCTCAGGGACAAGGGGGGAGGCTCTTCCTTTTAGCAGCTTAATTGCCATGGCCGAAAGTGGCAAAGAAATGCAGCTCACTAATTACAACAACTCCGCAGAGAGAGAGGAGAACAGAAGTGGAACAGAGGAGAATTAGTGGCAGTCAGGCATGTCCTGGAGGGGGGTTTCTTGCCCCCTCCTCTTGCCACCCCATTCGAACGCCTCTGACGCGGGTGTCCTTCAAAAAAAGGCCAATTGTCGTGCAGCGGCCACGTTGCATGTGCAGCCTCGAGGGGGCATCGAATATATGTAGAATTTCCAGTCATAAAACTGCGGAATGTCGCCAATTAAAATTGTTGCACACACACGGCGACCGGGTGTGAGTGTGGCTGCCAGTGTGTGTTCGTGTTGCACATGCACAGTGGTGGCGCCCATAGGCCAAAAATCAAAAAAATTATTTCAACAAATATGTACGAAAAGTAGAAAAATCGTCTCTTAAATGTCCAAACTTCCTTGTGTCATACCAGATTTTTTTGAAAATCGAACAGGACTTTCTAAAAATAGAATTAAAGATGTGAAGACGTGTTCATTTGCAAAGCGCAGCTACGCGCATCGCGAATGTTTCACAACGAAACCGAACTTTGAAGTGGTCCGGTCGTTTATTACGTGTCTAAATTAATATTTTTTGTAATGGGTTTTGAAGTTCAAGGTATTTTCTATAAAAAGAGACACAATTTTATATATTAATAATAATTATTGTTTTCATTATATTAATGTGAAATAATCATGTTTTTTGCCAATATTTTGAACGTATTTTTTATGTTTAGGTAAATTTATAGTTGTGACCCCACAAAAATCTACAGTTCATATGTATGCCAATGTGTTTGTCGAGCTTTTAAGGTGACAAATGTGAAAAAAAATTTTGCCGAAATTTGCCTATGTGCCTATAATCTTAAAAATACTAACACAGGTGAGGGTAAGGTTTTTAATATTTTTTTCTCGTATTTTTTTTTTTTTTTTAAATAAAGGTTTAATATCTTATAAATATTGTGTGAAAGTTTTACATCGATTATTAAAAAATTGACAAAGTTATGGGTAGTTGAACGGAGGTCGTTTGGTGTTCGTTGTATGAGTATCCCAAAGTTTAACTCGCTCTCCTGAAAAATGCCATTTTGAAAATGGGTGTACACGATAACTTAAAAACAACTTAACCAATCGGTTTGAAATTTTGAATATAACTTTTTAAATTAACTACACAGATACTCACGTTAAGCTTTTTAAAATTTTTAATTTTAATATATATTTTTTTTAACAAGTTAACTTAATTTTTTAGGCAAAAATTCGGGTGTTGATTTATAATTTTGATCAAAAATAGGGAAAGAATTTTAAAAATAAAAACGTCATCTGGGTACCTTGGGGCACTTATTCTTTAACGAATGCAATAAATTATTTTGATATCGGATGTTTTTGTCGACAGTTCGGATGTACACCGAAAACAAACTTTTTTTTTTGTGGGACTTAAGTGATTCGCTATTAGTCGTAGGCCTGTAAATATTCTTTAATACACAAATTTAAAAAAAAAAATGGTTTATATGTTGTGTTATTATATGGTATTTAATTCATTAAGCTAAATTCAGCCGTTTCGTCACAACATTTTTTTGAAAAGTGGGCAGTTTTGCACCGAATTAACCTTACACCCCTTTAGCTGTGTACTTTTGTTGCTAGACAAATAAAATACACAATATATAAATTTATAATTTTTTTTTTAATTCTGGGCACTTATATTTCACCAACTTTGTCATTAAGAGATAAAAAAATTTAGTTTTTGACTTGGAAAAAAAGTTTTAATTAAAATTTTGTATGGGAGCTATAAGATAAAGATATCCGATTTTAACCAAATTTAGTAAGAATGCATAAACTTGTACCAAACATATAATCTGTGAAATTGGTTAAGATATTTTGAAAAACAAAAAAGTTTTTCATACAAAATGTTGATTTTTAACATATTGTTTCTATGGCAGCTATATGATGTAGACGTGCTATATAGGCAATTTTTTGTAGATATACTTAAAACATTTTTCTTGATTTTTGGTGTAAATTTCGTAACGATTAATCAACTAGAAGTATTTTTGGCCGCGTCTCCATACAAGCCCAACCACTGTGACATGTGACGTGACATAAATGCATGTCATGTTCGTTGCCTGTTTTTTGTTTCGTGCGTTCCAGCTCCAAGGATTTCCCCCAGGGGTAAAGGAGCCACGAGGCGGCGGCAAGTTCGCGCGCTAAAAACTATGCAACACAATGCCCGTAAATTGCGCAATCAAATTACCAGCCACCCCCAGGCCCAGCCCGTCGAAGCCCCTCCAAGTGCCCACTGTAAGCTTAGGCAATCAATTATAATGTTAGCATGCAAGCTTTATAATTGTTCAAAGGGGTTTGCGACAGCAAAAAAAGAAAGGCTGGGGTGGGTTAAGAGGGGGCCTCGAAGGACTGCAGTGTCAGAGAAAAGTGGTATCAATAACTAAGTCGAAAAATAAGGTGCCTAAAAGAGCTTAAGAAATAGGCAAATCGCTTTTAAGGTGAGTCTTAGGTCTAGATCTATGCTGATTGTATTTTTGATAGATTTTTACAATTTATATATATTTTTAAATACCCTTAAGCCTTACATTTGGACTTCATTTCCAATGAAAACTTGACTTAAGTACCTTTAACATTAGGGAAATGTCTGCAAAAGCCAGACCTATGTCTAGATCGATGCTTATTATAGTTTGTATAGATTTGTAGGTGTCAAAAAAAAACCTTTATAAGACTAATAAATATTTTTAAATACCCTTAAGCCTAAAAATTTTGACATGATCACCAATGAAAACTTGTTTTAAGTTCATTAAAAGTGAGGAAAATCAATTCAAAAGCATTTCCCATGTCTAGATCGATGTTGATTATATTTTTTATAAATTTTTAAGTGTGCAAAAGAACCTTTATAAGATTTATATATTTAAAAGTGCCTAAGAAATAGAGAAATCCCTGCTAAGGTAAGTCCTATGTTTAGATCGATGTTGATTATATTTTTATAGATTTTTAGGTGTGCAAAAAAAAAAAATCTTTAAACGATTCATTTATATTTATAAATACCCCAAAAAAAACCTTAGAATTAGACTTGATATCCAAAAAAAACTTGTCTTCTTTTTTTTTTTTTAATAATCCTGTACCCTATTTTCTCGCAGTGCCTTTATCCTGCCGTTGTTGCACTACAAAATAGGCATTTTAGGACTCGGGGAACCCTGATTGTCGTTGCGTTGTTAGCCTAAGTACGGCCCGGCCTTTTGGTGTCACGTAAGGGGACTGTTACTGTTGCGTTTACTGTTCCGGGTACTGAGCTTTGGGGGTACTTCCCCGACCCACTAATTTCCAGCATTTAACGTGACCGCGTGCAAATTTCCACACACACACACAGGGACACACTCTTTCAACTTTGTACTCTTTAGCACTCTTTAGTTGCGCTTTGCATTCGCCGGGGGTTGAGGCTGAGGCTGAGGCAGTCAACACTAGAGGGGGGGTTAAGGTGGTTAGGGGTTAAGGCCTAGGGTGGACATGGTTTGGTGGGCGGTCTGTACTCGATAGGAGAGTGGCTTGATTAATGACGGAATCGCATTAGCCGACCCGCGGCCAAGTGCAGTTACTCAATCAATCAGCAGAGGCCCAGGGAATTTACATCTCCGTTTCGCTTTCGGTGACCTCTTGACCCCTGCTAATGGATATAGATTATATATAGCTCAAGAGAAAGTGGAAATACAAGGATACCCATAAATTATACAAATATTATATGTATTATTTTTAAGAGAATCTAGCTACAAAAGTGAACTTTCAAAAGCGATTTGGATCCAAGCTGGGAAATAAGCCACCTCTCGGTTCAGCCAGTGTTGTTCGCATTGCAAATTGTGTGAACATTGCCCGTTGGCTTCATGATTTTCACAGACAACACATCCCACTAAAATATTGCCATACATTGTTTTCCCGTTGCGGGAAGAGCTTAATCCATAATTTATAATTTGCCATTACAGCCGCTCCCCTCTGGCTGCCTGGCATTTGGCTTTTAATTAGTTAATTATTATTTGCTATTATTGCCTAGGGTTTTTTCGAGCTCTGCCACTCTCTGCCACTTTAAAGCCGTTTTGAGGGAAAAATTCAAATGAAATTGGTCGAGTTTTATTGGAAAGTATACATATTGTTCGAAAAATAACGTTTCACCTTTCAAAATAGTTTCTTAATTAACCTAAATAAGTTGAGAATAAAATAAAAGATTGAAAAGAGTGGCAACCAACTGTTTATATACTGTTTTCCCCAACTTAAGCTTTTCAGTTTCTGGAAAAAACCCATTACAAAAGAAGCATTTAAGCCAGGTTTTATTTACCAATTACCAATACGCTAATCCCATTAATTATTTCATTTAAATTAGCGAATATCGCAAACTAATCGCAACTCGAATTAATTGCGTAAAGACGTTTTCCAAACGCCTGCAGGGAAATGGGGAAATTCTTTGCTGCAAAAGCAGAATGGAGGGGGAAAAAACAACGAGCACGAAAATTAACTGTACTATAAAAGGTGGAAAATTTTTCAAACAAACCAACGAAATTTGCATAATTATGATTAACACAACGGGGGCAGCAAGGCGGTGGGGGGAATTCAAGGGAGAGTGCATTCGGAGGAAAAGTTCGTGTTTGTGGGCTGGAAAAAAAATGAAACACAATAATAATAAAAAGTATGTATAA